TATCAGAAAAAATTTCTGACCATTTTGTACAAAGTTATGCTTGACCAAAACTCCGACCACAGCCGATTAAACATTCTAGCGGCGCGCGAAGCGCGCCCCAAAGCCGTTAGGCTTTCCAACGGGCACCCCAAAATTTTACCGCCAGAGTGCTGTAACTAACCGCCATCGCATACGTAACCCATAGCTAGTTATATTATACTAAAAGAAACTACCAAGTGCCCCATCATTTGTGGGTAAAATCGGGCTTTTTTCGTTTAAAAACTAATTTGAGTCGAACGAGTTCCTGGGGATTTTTTTGAGTTGTACATTAGTCCTACAACTTTTTGACGCGCATTCAGGAAAATTATAGCCGTGGCGCCAAAACGTACCCCCGCGCCGAAACGGCCGTCGGTAAAATTCAAACGGCCATAGCTCGGGAGGGTGAAGTCGAACCAAAAAGTGACTGGGGCGAGGGCCCTAAGTTGGGATACGTCCTATAACTCTGAAAAAAAATTGGAGTGCTGGGATCAAATGTCCGACCTGTGGAGGTTGGCAAAAATTCACCGATTGTCGGTGAATTGTCCTACCCCGTCCGACGAAATTCACCTACAATTTACAAATTATATACCAATCGAAAGCTCTCACCGAGCTGAGTCCGAAAAAATTTAGTTTAATTTTTTCTGACCATTTTGAAAAAAGTTACACTTCGCCAAAAGTTCAAAATGTCCAGGACCCCTATCGGGAAGGGTGGCTCCCATTGGATGTAATTATAAAATTGCTTAAGAGAGGCCGAATCGCTCCAACTCTTTTTTATTATGTTAGGGCACGTAGTTGGCTAAAATTTTGTTGGGGGCCACTTGAGTCTCGGATTTGGTTTTGGGGGTGATAAGGTTCAAAAGATCGGGGTCGAAAAGTCGACTTTTTAACGCGTGAATTGAAACTCGATTTGAGTTTCCTATGTTGTAGAGCGTCCTTTGAAACCTCTAAAAATATATAGTTTGTTGGGGGTACACTTGAGTCTGGGAAAGTTATAGGCCAAAAATTGAGTTTTTGGGGGTCAAAAATTGACCTTTTTTGGGCTATAACTTTTTTTAAAAATTTTTTAAAAATAAACGGATTTCGGATTCGGATTCAGCACCTATTAGAGTACCATAAAACATATTAATCTCGAAGTCGAATTTTTCGTCTCAGGTTCGACTTTTTGGGGGTCATACCCGGTGGGGTACCTGATTGAAAGTCTGAATGAAAATATTGTCCGGTTAAGTTGTAGAGGGCCCTAAACTATGTCGAAAATGTATACATTGTAGAAGGTCCACTTGAGTCTCAAAAAGTTATGCCCAATGTTCGCAAATGTCGCGAAACTTTTTGAGACTCTAACTTCATAGGAAAATTTTTAAAAATTTTTCTGAGACCGGATTCGGACTCAGCACACCTAAATGCACCATATAGGTCGTTTTTTGACCTAAAATAAAAAAATTTTTTCCCCGACCCCATCCCAAAAGGGGTACGTACCCCTTTTCGCCGAATTTTGGGATTTTTTAAAACGGCATAACTTTTTTTGGGATTTTCGGATTTGGATGTGGTTTCTTTATAAAAATAGACCAAAAAATTAGGTATTTTTTGAGTCGAAAAAATTTCGAAAAATTTCGAAATTGGGCCCGAGGGGGTCGAATTTCGAAAATCCCAAAATTTTTCGGATTTTCGCAAAATTTTCGGGATTTTTGCCGCCGGTTCGAGCCGAAGGTATTTTTCCTATATAGAGCAGATTTTTCTGCATAGGATATGATTTTAAAATCTTCAAAAATTGTTACTTTTAAAAAAGTTATGAATTTTTGAAAATTTGGGTGAATTTTCAGGCCAAAATTTTCGCCCAAAAAAATAAATTTTTCAAAATTTACATAAATGGGGCAAATTATATAACAATCGAAAGCTCTCATCCAGGGGAGTCTAAAAATATTTTTTGTAAAATTTTCTGACCCTTTTGGCCAAAGTTATGGTCGGTCAAAAGTTTGAGTCTGGGGGGCCTACTTTTGCTGGTGGGGTACAAAAGGAGGGGTAATAATTCAAATATCGTCCGGTAATGTCGCCCCCAAACTTAACAGCGAGGGCCGAAGAACTTTACCGGCGAGGGCCGAAGGCCCGAGCTTTCAACCCATCCCGGAAGGCATGGCTAAACTTTACCAGCAAGGGCCGAAGGCCCGAGCTTTCAACCCATCCCGGAAGGCAGGGCTAACCCGAGCTTTCAACCCATCCCGGAAGGCAGGGCTAACCCGAGCTTTCAACCCATCCCGGAAGGCAGGGCTAAACTTTTCCGGCGCGGGCCGAAGGCCCGAGCTTTCAACCCATCCCGGAAGGCAGGGCTAAACTTTACCAGCGAGGGCCGAAGGCCCGAGCTTTCAACCCATCCCGGAAGGCAGGGCTAAACTTTACCGGCGAGGGCCGAAGGCCCGAGCTTTCAACCCATCCCGGAAGGCAGGGCTAAACTTTACCGGCGAGGGCCGAAGGCCCGAGCTTTCAACCCATCCCGGAAGGCAGAGCTAAACTTTACTGGCGAGGGCCGAAGGCCCGAGCTTTCAACCCATCTAAAAGGCAGAGCAATGAAATTAGAAGGCAAGGCTAAACTGTACCTGCGAGGGCCGAAGGCCCGAGCTTTCAACTCATCTAAAAGGCAGAGCAATGATCGAAAGGCAGGGCTAAACTTTACCGGCGCGGGCCGAAGGCCCGAGCTTTCAACTCATCCCGGAAGGCAGGGCTAAACTTTACCAGCGAGGGCCGAAGGCCCGAGCTTTCAACCCATCCCGGAAGGCAGGGCTAAACTTTACCGGCGAGGGCCGAAGGCCCGAGCTTTCAACCCATCCCGGAAGGCAGGGCTAAACTTTACCGGCGAGGGCCGAAGGCCCGAGCTTTCAACCCATACCGGAAGGCAGGGCTAAACCTTACCAGCGAGGGCCGAAGGCCCGAGCTTTCAACCCATACCGGAAGGCAGAGCAATGAAATTAGAAGGCAAGGCTAAACTGTACCTGCGAGGGCCGAAGGCCCGAGCTTTCAACCCATCTAAAAGGCTGAGCAATGATCGAAAGGCAGGGCTAAATTTACCTGCGGAGGCCGAAGGCCCGAGCTTTCAACCCATCCCGGAAGGCAGGGCTAAACTTTACCAGCGAGTGCCGAAGGCCCTTTCTTTCAACCCATTTCTGAAGGCAGGGCTAAACTTTACCAGCGAGGGCCGAAGGCCCGAGTTTTCAACCCTTCCCGGAAGGCAGGGCTAAACCTTACCAGCGAGGGCCGAAGCCCGAGCTTTCAACCCATCTTAGAGGCAGAGCAATGAAAGAAAAGGCAGGGCTAAACTTTACCTGCGAGGGCCGAAGGCCCGAGCATTCAACCCATTTAAAAGGCAGAGCAACGCATTAAAATGCAGGGCTAAACTTTGCCGGCGAGGGCCGAAGGCCCGAGCTTTCAACCCATCCCGGAAAAATTGGCCGATATTTTAAACTTTGCAAAAAAATTTTAAAGGTGGGCAAATGATATATCAAATGAAAGCCCTCAGTGAGCTGAGTCTAAAAATAATATCAGAAAAAATTTCTGACCATTTTGTACAAAGTTATGCTTGACCAAAACTCCGACCACAGCCGATTAAACATTCTAGCGGCGCGCGAAGCGCGCCCCAAAGCCGTTAGGCTTTCCAACGGGCACCCCAAAATTTTACCGCCAGAGTGCTGTAACTAACCGCCATCGCATACGTAACCCAGAGCTAGTTATATTATACTAAAAAAAACCACCAAGTGCCCCATCATTTGTGGGTAAAATCGGGCTTTTTTCGTTTAAAAACTAATTTGAGTCGAACGAGTTCCGGGGGATTTTTTTGAGTTGTACATTAGTCCTACAACTTTTTGACGCGCATTCAGGAAAATTATAGCCGTGGCGCCAAAACGTACCTCTGCGCCGAAACGGCCGTCGGTAAAATTCAAACGGCTGTAACTCGGAGAGGTGAAGTCGAACCAAAAAGTGACTGGGGCGAGGGCCCTAAGTTGGGATAGGGTCTATAACGCTGAAAAAAAATTGGAGGCCTGGGAACAACTGTCCGACCTGTGGAGGTTGGCAAAAATTCACCGATTGTCGGTGAATTGTCCTACCTCGTCCGACGAAATTGATCGACAATTTACAAATTATATACCAATCGAAAGCTCTCATCGAGCTGAGTCCGAAAAAATTTATTTTAATTTTTTCTGACCATTTTGAAAAAAGTTACACTTCGCCAAAGGTTCAAAATGTCTTGGACCCCTATCGGGAAGGGTGGCTCCCATTGGATGTAATTATAAAATTGCTTAAGAGAGGCCGAATCGCTCCAACTCTTTTTTAGTATGTTAGGGCACTTAGTTGGCTAAAATTTTGTTGGGGGCCACTTGAGTCTCGGATTTGGTTCTGGGGGTCATGAGGTTCAAAAGGTCCGGGTCGAAAAGTCGACTTTTTAATGCGTGAATTGAAAGTCGATTTGAGTTTCCTATGTTGTAGAGCGTCCTTTGAAACCTCTAAAAATATATACTTTGTTGGGGGTACACTTGAGTCTGGAAAAGTTATAGGGCAAAAAGTGACATTTTGGGGGTCAAAAATTGACCTTTATTGGGCTATAACTTTTTTTAAAATTTTTTTAAAAATAAAAGGGCTTCGGGAATGGATTCAGCACCTATCAGAGCACAATATAGCATATTTATCTCGAAGTCGAATTTTTCGACTCAGGTTCGACTTTTTGGGGGTCACACCCGGTGGGGTACCTGATTGAAAGTCTGAATGAAAACTTAATCCGGTGATGTTGTAGAGCATCTAAAACTACACTGAAATGTAAAATTTGGGCATGGTCCACTTGAGTCTCAAAAAGTTATGGCCAATGTACGCAAATGTCGTAAAACTTTTTGAGACTCTAACGTCCCTGCGAATTTTTTAAATTATTTTCGGAGGACGGTTATAGGCTCAGCGGGTCTTAATGTACTATATAAGCTTTATTTTATGTCGAAATTGAACTTTTATGTTTTCTGACACTATTTCCTTCAGGTTTTGACCTAAGACACGTTTTTTCGAAAATTTTTGCTGATTTTCAAATTTTTTATTGCAAGTGTTATATTTTTTTTAAAGCGCTCGGCCAGCCGCATCGAATAGGCTGTATTTTAATAGTTAGCATCATAATTTTAAAAATTACATTTTTTGGCGTTTTGTTATTTTTCCAAATTTTTTCTTTTTTTTTACGGTTTTATTTTTTCAATTTTTTCTTTCGTTTATGTTTAATTTTAATTATTTAAATATCTTTTATTATTCTTTGTTTGTTTTTAGTGTAGTTGTTTTGTTTTAGCCCGCTATGAGGGTTTATAATGAAAATTTGCCGTTATTGGGATCGGAAATTGCAATTATTTTCCGTTATGAGATGGAAAATGTGAGTATTTAACCAAAAAATTTTTTGATTTTTTTAACCAATTTTTTGTCTACTTTTCTTTTCTTTAGTGCCCGTCAACCTTTTAGAAGGCCAAGAAGCCAGATTTCTTCCTTTTTCAGTTTGTTTTTTAGTTTTTATTCTTTGCGCATAATTTAAGTTTTTCTTTTTTCAGGGGTCGGTAAACTTCATCTAAGACTTAATATTGCTGTGAGACCAATAGCAATCAAGTACTGTCAAGGAAAGTTGTAAAGCACTTTGAAGAGAGAGTTTAAGAGGGCGTGAAACCGGTGAGGTGGAAACGGATAGAGGTGGCGTTTTGCTGCCTTTTTTGGAGTGGCAGGTTTATTTGAATTTAAATGTTTTATTAACCTAATATTTCTAAGACTCAATATTGCCACGAGACCGATAGCAATCAAGTACTGTGAAGTGAAGTTGTAAAGCACTTTGAAGATTAAAGAGGACGTGAAACTGGCGAGGTGGAAACGGATAGAGTCGGCGTATCTTTCAAGTATTCAACGCGAGAGGTTTTTATTTTTTAGATTTCTTCCTTTTTTAAAGAATATTTCCTTTTTGCGGGTTCGCAAATCTTGAGAATTTCTCTGGCTTTTTAGGTTTTTCATTTCCCTGTGGTTATCTAAAATTTCAAAGGTCAAGAAGCCATATTTCTCCCAGCAATGAGTATGCGTTTTACGTCTATAGGAAGGTTGAGCCGCAAATTTCGGGAAAAGAAAAATTTGGGGAGTGGAAATTTGGGAAATTTGGGGATTTTAAAAACTGTATCTTTCTTTTGTAAGGCGTTTGCGCTTGAATGATCGTCAAAAATACTTTCTTAGTTCGGTTTCCAAAATTCTCAAAAATTGTTTCCATTTTTTTGAGATATATTAATTGAGATATTAATTGAGATATAAACATTATAAGTGGGGTACGCGTTTACGGAGTGTCCTCCTCAGTGGTGTGCAGTTGCAATTTTCGTCTTTCGCCTTTCGCTTTTTAAAATCTTTTTGGCACTTCTTACTTTTTTCGTCTTTCGCTTTTTAAAATCTGTTTCAGCACACCACTGCCCATCATTCAATATTTATTTAAAATATTTTGATTTAAATTTTATTTAATTTATTTTTTGATATTATTTTGGTTATTTTTTGTTTGATTTTTTTGCCAATTTGTTGTTTAATTTTTATTTTTTGAATTTATTTGTTGGTAAAAGTTTTTTGAAAAATTTGTTTTATATAGTTTTGCTATATCCATATTCAAAAAGTATTTACAGCACATCATAATTAGTTGAAACAAATAATTTTGCCGTGTTTATTTCTTTCACTTCTTCCAGACGGTATTTTAGTTGAAGTACGAAATGGTTGATCATTTCTTCCTTACATAATTTAAATGTATTATATATTAAATGTGACAACAAACTTCTAGCCGCGCGCGAAGCGCGCCCCAAAGCCGATAGGCTTTCCAACGGGCACCCCAAAATTTTACCGCCAGAGTATGCTATTCGCGCCATCGCATACGTAACCCACAGCTAGTTATATTATACTAAAAAAAACCACCAAGTGCCCCTTCTTTTGTGGGTAAAATCGGGCTTTTTTCGTTTAAAAACTAATTTGAGTCGAACGAGTTCTCGGGGATTTTTTTGAGTTGTACATTAGTCCTACAACTTTTTGACGCGCATTCAGGAAAATTATAGCCGTGGCGCCAAAACGTACCTCTGCGCCGAAACGGCCGTCGGTAAAATTCAAACGGCTGTAACTCGGAGAGGTGAAGTCGGATCAAAAAGTGATTGGGGTGAGGGCCCTAAGTTGGGATAGGGTCTATAACGCTGAAAAAAAATTGGAGGCCTGGGAACAACTGTCCGACCTGTGGAGGTTGGCAAAAATTCACCGATTGTCGGTGAATTGTCCTACCTCGTCCGACGAAATTGATCGACAATTTACAAATTATATACCAATCGAAAGCTCTCATCGAGCTGAGTCCGAAAAAATTTATTTTAATTTTTTCTGACCATTTTGAAAAAAGTTACACTTCGCCAAAGGTTCAAAATGTCTTGGACCCCTATCGGGAAGGGTGGCTCCCATTGGATGTAATTATAAAAATGCTTATGAGAGGCCGAATCGCTCCAACTCTTTTTTAGTATGTTAGGGCACTTAGTTGGCTAAAATTTTGTTGGGGGCCACTTGAGTCTCGGATTTGGTTCTGGGGGTCATGAGGTTCAAAAGGTCCGGGTCGAAAAGTCGACTTTTTAATGCGTGAATTGAAAGTCGATTTGAGTTTCCTATGTTGTAGAGCGTCCTTTGAAACCTCTAAAAATATATACTTTGTTGGGGGTACACTTGAGTCTGGAAAAGTTATAGGGCAAAAAGTGACATTTTGGGGGTCAAAAATTGACCTTTATTGGGCTATAACTTTTTTTAAAATTTTTTTAAAAATAAAAGGGCTTCGGGAATGGATTCAGCACCTATCAGAGCACAATATAGCATATTTATCTCGAAGTCGAATTTTTCGACTCAGGTTCGACTTTTTGGGGGTCACACCCGGTGGGGTACCTGATTGAAAGTCTGAATGAAAACTTAATCCGGTGATGTTGTAGAGCATCTAAAACTACACTGAAATGTAAAATTTGGGCATGGTCCACTTGAGTCTCAAAAAGTTATGGCCAATGTACGCAAATGTCGTAAAACTTTTTGAGACTCTAACGTCCCTGCGAATTTTTTAAATTATTTTCGGAGGACGGTTATAGGCTCAGCGGGTCTTAATGTACTATATAAGCTTTATTTTATGTCGAAATTGAACTTTTATGTTTTCTGACACTATTTCCTTCAGGTTTTGACCTAAGACACGTTTTTTCGAAAATTTTTGCTGATTTTCAAATTTTTTATTGCAAGTGTTATATTTTTTTTAAAGCGCTCGGCCAGCCGCATCGAATAGGCTGTATTTTAATAGTTAGCATCATAATTTTAAAAATTACATTTTTTGGCGTTTTGTTATTTTTCCAAATTTTTTCTTTTTTTTTACGGTTTTATTTTTCCTCTATTCCGTTAGAAAGTTATTTTGGCCGTAGAAGTTATTTTGGCCGTAGATTCGGCGGGCCTTCGGCGGGCCGAAGGCCCGCCGAGATTTCCAAAGCTTTTAATTTAATATAGCAGAAAAAACCTTCTAGCAGCGCGCGAAGCGCGCCCCAAAGCCGTTAGGCTTTCCAACGGGCAGAGCATAAAAATCAAAAAGTATCGTAACTAAACCTATTGCATACGTAACTTACCGCCATACCCCAATGGGCACAACTAGAAAGTGAACCAAAAAGTGAACCAAAAAGTGACCAAAAAGTGATTGGGGTGAGGGCCCTAAGTTGGGATAGGGTCTATAACGCTGAAAAAAAATTGGAGGCCTGGGAACAACTGTCCGACCTGTGGAGGTTGGCAAAAATTCACCGATTGTCGGTGAATTGTCCTACCTCGTCCGACGAAATTGATCGACAATTTACAAATTATATACCAATCGAAAGCTCTCATCGAGCTGAGTCCGAAAAAATTTATTTTAATTTTTTCTGACCATTTTGAAAAAAGTTACACTTCGCCAAAAGTTCAAAATGTCCAGGACCCCTATCGGGAAGGGTGGCTCCCATTGGATGTAATTATAAAATTGCTTAAGAGAGGCCGAATCGCTCCAACTCTTTTTTATTATGTTAGGGCACGTAGTTGGCTAAAATTTTGTTGGGGGCCACTTGAGTCTCGGATTTGGTTTTGGGGGTGATAAGGTTCAAAAGATCGGGGTCGAAAAGTCGACTTTTTAACGCGTGAATTGAAACTCGATTTGAGTTTCCTATGTTGTAGAGCGTCCTTTGAAACCTCTAAAAATATATAGTTTGTTGGGGGTACACTTGAGTCTGGGAAAGTTATAGGCCAAAAATTGAGTTTTTGGGGGTCAAAAATTGACCTTTTTTGGGCTATAACTTTTTTTAAAAATTTTTTAAAAATAAACGGATTTCGGATTCGGATTCAGCACCTATTAGAGTACCATAAAACATATTAATCTCGAAGTCGAATTTTTCGTCTCAGGTTCGACTTTTTGGGGGTCATACCCGGTGGGGTACCTGATTGAAAGTCTGAATGAAAATATTGTCCGGTTAAGTTGTAGAGGGCCCTAAACTATGTCGAAAATGTATACATTGTAGAAGGTCCACTTGAGTCTCAAAAAGTTATGCCCAATGTTCGCAAATGTCGCGAAACTTTTTGAGACTCTAACTTCATAGGAAAATTTTTAAAAATTTTTCTGAGACCGGATTCGGACTCAGCACACCTAAATGCACCATATAGGTCGTTTTTTGACCTAAAATAAAAAAATTTTTTCCCCGACCCCATCCCAAAAGGGGTACGTACCCCTTTTCGCCGAATTTTGGGATTTTTTAAAACGGCATAACTTTTTTTGGGATTTTCGGATTTGGATGTGGTTTCTTTATAAAAATAGACCAAAAAATTAGGACCAAAAAAACTTTACCGGCGCGGGCCGAAGGCCCGAGCTTTCAACTCATCCCGGAAGGCAGGGCTAAACTTTACCAGCGAGGGCCGAAGGCCCGAGCTTTCAACCCATCCCGGAAGGCAGGGCTAAACTTTACCGGCGAGGGCCGAAGGCCCGAGCTTTCAACCCATCCCGGAAGGCAGGGCTAAACTTTACCGGCGAGGGCCGAAGGCCCGAGCTTTCAACCCATACCGGAAGGCAGGGCTAAACCTTACCAGCGAGGGCCGAAGGCCCGAGCTTTCAACCCATACCGGAAGGCAGAGCAATGAAATTAGAAGGCAAGGCTAAACTGTACCTGCGAGGGCCGAAGGCCCGAGCTTTCAACCCATCTAAAAGGCTGAGCAATGATCGAAAGGCAGGGCTAAATTTACCTGCGGAGGCCGAAGGCCCGAGCTTTCAACCCATCCCGGAAGGCAGGGCTAAACTTTACCAGCGAGTGCCGAAGGCCCTTTCTTTCAACCCATTTCTGAAGGCAGGGCTAAACTTTACCAGCGAGGGCCGAAGGCCCGAGTTTTCAACCCTTCCCGGAAGGCAGGGCTAAACCTTACCAGCGAGGGCCGAAGCCCGAGCTTTCAACCCATCTTAGAGGCAGAGCAATGAAAGAAAAGGCAGGGCTAAACTTTACCTGCGAGGGCCGAAGGCCCGAG